CCTGGCTGAACCCAGCACACTTGACCATCTAGGTTTTGACTCTGTTGTGTATTTCATATATAATTGTTGAAGTTTACAGTGGCACCACGTTACAAGCCAGCCTGGAAATAAGGTTATCTGGGGTTTGGGTCCTCTCCACCCTGGTAAAACATGACACATTCCAAAATCAAGTCCATGCCACTACAGCGATAATGACAACGGAATAGAATATGGATCCTTCTTTGTGAAAGAAGCAGGAATCTGGAAGCCAGGAATAAGAGTAGGAATCTCACAAATTCTCTGTGGCTTTAACTCATTTGATGAACTGTTTCAACAGTTGCATCTTATTTTGGTGACGACAGAAAGATGCTACGGGTTCTGGATACAATAAAACAAAGTGTTACAGAGTATCAAACCATTTCTCTTCTCTGGGCTGCCGTCTGACCCTACGCTGTATCAGAAAGACATGAGTTATTCCTAGTTCCACATTTTCAGTCTTTGGTTTTCAGCAGTAATTCATAGACATTTACTTTCTCCTTCATGGAAGGAGTAGTATTATGCTTTAATCTAGCCCTACAAAATGCCATTACGTAAAATGAATTCTTTTACTAGATTTTGATCAAAGTTTCTGAAATAGTTAACATTTCAGAGGATAAAACCTGCTGAGCACAGTGCTCTGTAGCTAACAATGTTTTTATCTGCTCATGTGCTATTTCTGCAACTGCACTCCGTTTGCTAGCTTGTCGCTGCTAAATTCCGTCATCGGTGGCGTGCCTCTGAGAACTAGGAATGGTAGACATAGAAAATAAAAGCTCACGCAGACCCATCACTTCTAGCCATAATGCATTTCTGTCTTACTCATAAACTTACTGTTTAACAATGTCTCTAACCAGAACACAAGGTACGTAGAAGGAAAGACAATTTGGTGCCAGACAAGTTTCTCATCCATTTTACTGCTGACAGCCGTAAAATAGATGTAAGGCAGGAAAAAAAACAACTTTACAGAGATGGACATCTTTTTCAGAGCTAGCAAGAGAACTGGATTTCACAGAAGAGCAAATTCACCAGATCCGAATTGAAAATCCTAATTCACTTCAAGACCAGAGCCATGCGCTCCTCAAATACTGGCTTGAAAGGGATGGGAAACATGCAACAGGTTTGTTTTCAGTTACAGTACATATAACTCCCTCCAGTTTGCTAGTTGAGGTGAGAGATGTGCATTATAATTGCAGAAAGAAAATCTGGGTGAAACTTAGGCTATAGAAAGAATGACCATAGATTGTACTTAATTTTTTTTAAGCTTGTCTGTATAACATGGCATATCATAGAGAAAATAGTTTTATTTTGTTTATTTGAGGGCCAGGCAGAACATCTTGCAGCAAAGAAAGGGTGGAAAAACACTGAGGCCACTTTTTGCTGAACTGAAAAATGTTTGGGAAAACTAAACAAATTTGTTAAACGAATAAAACCAAAACGAGCAGTAATTTTTATAAGCAGCCCTTCAGTTTATTTTAGATTTTACATAGCAATGCTTCTAAATGCACCTATATTTTATATATAATATTGTATTGCTCAGCATCCTATATATGTCCTTCATATGGAAAATAGAAGGGAGAGAGCATGTGAAATTCTTACCTCAGCTACGTGGTTTTGTTCTGCTGCCACAGATACAAATCTTACCCAGTGTCTTACCAAAATCAACCGAATGGATATTGTCCACCTAATGGAGACCAGCGGCATAGACTCCAGGCAGGTCCACGGCACTCGCACCTACGCAGAGATTGAACAAACGATAGGGTTGGACCATAGTGAAGGTAGGTGTCTCCTGATCCAGACTGCCCAGGTGATGTCATCTAAGCACTAGCTGCTCTTCTGCAGCGTGGGACTAGCATGTTCTGTTATCTCTATGACTAAGCACTGGCATCTCACTTTGAAAGCACAGATAACGGGGATGAGCGCGAGCATGACGTCACACAGGTCACTGTCACGAGCGTAAGATCTCTGCATTAGCTGATTCTTATGAAGAAGATAAAGGAATGCTCTCAGAAACTACTGCAAATATTTATGCCCAGTTTGTTGGGGTTTTTTGGGTGGTGGGGTTTTTGTTTGTTCGTTTGTCTGGGGTTTTTTTTGCTTATACAAGTACTTTTATAAAAGTTAAGAAGGTTGCATTAAGATTTGACCAAGATTTGTAAAAGGAAAGCTACTGCATGCTTCGGCTAAACCTTTGGATTCCAATATCCAGGATATTATAGTTCTGCTATGATGCTGTTGAATTTCATAAGTTTAAAAGTTCAGTAGGTAAGATCAATAGTTGCAAATTAAAGAAACACCTACAAATTACATGAAATAAAATCCTCTTTTCTGGAAGTGATACTTTTACATCCTTAACTTTGTATTCAACTAGTAGCTCAGTAAGGTATTAGAGAGCTGAAGACGTCCCACCTTTAAGAGAATGTAGGAATAGAAGGTAGTTGGCTATAATTAGCATTGTAGTGTCACAGGTGATGAGTTGTAGAACGTTAACCTCCCTGTCCAGCTCAAATTCAGTACCAGCAGGTACGCTTTGCTCCCCAGCTATTCTTCAGAGTTTAGCAGGTTCCTAGTGAATGTGGTTATTAAGGAAAAACAAAAGCCCAAGCTTGTGACTTGTAGCCTGTGGAACAGAAATGCATGTGTTATTTTACATTTCTTGCAGAATGAGAGCCCTTGCTTTGAGATCAGGGGTTGGGGTGGGTGGATGCGTCTGTATGCTTGTAGCACATAAATTAGCTAGTTCTTGCACCTAGTCCTGTATACATTTCTCTGTCCATACCTGTGTAGTTATTAATATAGGGCAGCAGTAATGGTAATCCAGTTTTCCTTCAGCTACTTAGAGAGGTTATGTCCTCTCCCTCTCAAGATGTCTACAAAATTCAGGTAATGTGTTCCATCCAGATATTTTAAACGCACACGGAGAATGAAATGGACTTCCTGCATTCTGGTAAGACTCTTAATGACATTTCTCATCTCTGTTTTTTTAAAGGGTTTTCGGCACTGCAAGAAGAGCTATATAGTTCAAGACATAAGCAAGAAGGACAACACAGAGTATCTAAAGACAGCGAGCCAACGGAACACCCTCCTATTGTCTCTGAGGAAGACGTGTCTGTCAGTTACTCTCCTTTTCAGGACAGCACTCCCAGGAGTGAGGCAGAAGTATCAATGGCTGAGCTCCTGAGACAAGGACATAAGGAACAAGTGGAAGCTGAATTCTCAGGGAAAACCCAAGATATGCCAGAAAAAACATCTGTTTCGCAACATGAATATTTGTAAGTGTCAAAAGACCAGAATGACACTTATGTGGAACAGATTCTCTCTTCTCTGTGTCATTAGAGGATTTTACAGTTTTCTTTGAAACATATGAACTCACTAGAATTTTCCTCTAATTGTGAGCACCAGTTGATACTGCATATTTGACTTTTTAATCAATGTACAGGAAACCTTAAGGATTAGGAGAGAAAGTCAGTTTGCTACCGTGAACAGAAAGCAACAACCTAGTCTAGTACGTATGAAAGAAAAGAGGGATAACGAAGAGGTGGGGCTTTTTGCAAACTCTGTAGATTTTTCATGTTAAATGGCAAGTAATGTTAAACTTAATGGAATTAACAGTAGGGGGCCTTTCTTCAACTTCAGGGTGGCTTTTTCAATTGAGGCAAAAATTTTCCTCCTTAATCGTTAATTACAAAACTCATAAGTACATATTAGCAACTAGATCTTTTTTAAAGCACATTTCAGGTGGCCAAAGGAACAGAAACAGGGTTTTATACAGACCAGACAGAAGTGCTTAAGGGAACAAGACGTCATAAAGTATAGATTTAGACGACCCGCACAGCAAAGCCTCGAATTCTGATTTGTGACTGTCAGTGGAGTTGGTTTCATTTGGAAAGGAACTTGAAAAGGGTCACGTTTCTTTCTTCCCACCATCCCTAACCTTGTGCCCATGCTGAGAACTCTCTGCAGGGTTGATTCCGGTGTTCATAGGCTAGCAAAATATCAAGGATCCCCTTCCAAAGAAGTGATTTCCCTGGGAATGATTAGCTTTGGTGTGGAGATGCAGTCACCTCCTGCATCTCCACTCCTTTTTGGAGTTCCGAACAAAGTGTGGTTGATTCCAGCAAATGGTCTGTTGGGGATTCTTTTGCTCAAGATACACTTTACACCCAGGAGAGAGCATGGGAGACAGAAAACAGCATCTGGTTGCACTGATAGGCAAAAATACCGATACTTCCTAATGATTTCCATGAGGAAACGAATGTTTTTGAGGAACAGAGAATACATATGAAACAATACTGTCAATACTAAGTGAGAGTAGTGATGACAGGGAAACATCACTGCACTTCACATCTACTTTGAACTAGGGGGGAAATTGGGCTAGATTTAAATGGCTCATGAGGAACACATACTAAGGGGTATTATGCAATAGTATGTATAGCCTTGTGAATGGGAAAAAAGGCTGGATCAATACTGTTTAACGTATGCTACAATGAAGTATTTTCTTTAGAACGTGATTTTTTTCAAGGGCAATACCTGGGGAGGCACAACAAATTGGCAAAGCCCAACATGTATCAGGAAAAAAACATACACGTGCAAGTTATTCTATTGCTGTTATTATTACTGTTATCCACTCATGGGATTGGTTGGGGAGAAGGGAATCTGTACTTCTCTTATTAAAATTTAACCATTTCTTCAGTTAAATTTCAAGAAGGGAAGAGAAAAAAAAAGAAAGCACGTAGTTGCTAGCTCCAAAGCATCTCGGAAGTTTTAGAAGTAGAAGATTTTATTTTTGCAGGCTCAATGTTTTTCAGGCTGTAATTCCACCAGTTTTGATATAATTGTCTCTTTTTTTTTTCTTTTTACTGATACACATGAAAAGAGAAAAGTCAACCTCCAAAGAAGATTCTAGGTGGTGAAGTGGGTAATGTTTTCATAATTAGTGCAAATCAGAAGAGACCTTTTCAAGCTAGCATCAGAGTTATGAGGTTAATTAATAAAACTTGGTTACCGTTACCTTAATATGTGAAGTCACTATTACTCACCCATATGCAACAGAAAAACACTACATGTACATAATGCTTTAATATATGTATTAACTTCATATATGTTGCACAGTAACATATGTAATGATGCGTTTAAATAACTTGCAGCATCAATTCAATCACAGCAATATTCAACAGTGAAAATAACATTACCAGAAAAGAATAAGATTCTCTATTAAATTTCAGTTTGGTGAGGCTCAAGAATTCTACACAGAAGTTGGTCTCTCCTCACCTGCAGCTGTGTAGCTTGTAAATAATGCAGTAGTTGCTTCACATCCATCCGTAGTGATCCAGTCTCTTTCCCCAAAAAATAATAGGTAACACGTATATTTGTGAGGGCACAAGGGACAGCAAAGCTCACATAAATCCTTTACAAAGACCAAGTTTTGCAGAATTGGGTGCAACATTTTTGACATCCATTTGGAGATTTTCTTGGGTCAGGAAGATGAGAGGGATTCCTAGACAGATTGCTCTGTAGCTATTGTCATAGAATCATAGAATGG